TGCCAAACATGGACTGCTTTGCCAGATACAGAGTCGCCACCTAAATATTTATTTTTGGGGAAATTTAGGAAACCCTGACTCGTTGCCTAAGGCCATGTGCCCGTCATCACCAAAGTTGACTCGGCTCGGGAACTTGGGTACGATTAGGGAAGGTCAACTATGAGCATCCCCGCTCGTCCGATCAAAGATCGGCCACTACTAAGCATGATATCGAGTTTTGAAAACATATGTGCTCTTATTCCGGTTATTAGCCTAGAATTACTATATGATGCGCACAGCATACAAGTATAGACTGGGTCGCCTGAATTGGAACAAAACATCTCATATTTGTTTTGAAAAACAGTTTGAAGGTGCTACTCGCTACTCGCAAGTAGGCTAAGACGTGGATTTTGCCACCCTCGGGTGGGCTTAGAAAACATGATTTTGCCACTTTCAAGTGGGCTTAAAACTCTCATTCAATGCATTGTTTCAATTCAAATAACCCAACCTCCACCCGCAGGCATTCAGGCAATTATATCACATAAGCAAATAGCCTCATGGTAAGCATGTTATCATGGCAGTCACTCACACTCATGCAAGGATACTAAAGCATAAACACTCACCGAGTACTCCAAGCTAAAACAAAAACTAGTTAGTAATCAATGCATGATCCTAGTTCATGTTAAGATGGCTAATGCAACACATGCAAAATGCAACTAAGATAGGCTCGGCTATTCTAAACATGGCATATGAAATGCAACAAATGACATGTATTCAACTTGGAATTGAAATACAATGCAGTTACTATGATGCGCCGAGCCCGGCACATGCAAGACAGATGAATGGATGCAAACATGCGAGCATAAGGATGCTAATTGAAACGTGCCCTAAAACTAACCATCGAAAGTACGTAAGTAAAAGGGAGAAAGACGTGGGGTTGGAAGACATACATCATACACACGCACACTTATTACAATATTGCCCTCCTTAGAGGGTCCGAATGAATAATACACAACAAACTAGCTAATCTAAACTAATTAAACTAATTATTACACAACTAAAATGAATAACGAATTACAGCTAAATATTACATAATATTAATTAATTAACAAATTAAACTAAGGAAGCAAATAAATTAGCATGCAAGCTACATAAAATGGATTGCCTCAGCTCTGTTCCGAATGATAAGGATGCATGCATGCTCGAGTCGCCTTGTCGGGAAATCCATCGCGATGCCCGATTTGCCTCTGTTTGCAACTGGTCCCAGAACACTGCGCAAAGCTCCAGAAGGCAGCACCAGTTTTTGCTGCTGGTTTCCGGTTTGCTGCAACAGAGAGCAAGAAAGGGGCATGGCAAAGTATTTTCAACATATGTGTGCACGACCACTCTTCCCATCATTGCATAAGCTCTAGGAAGGGTAGTCCTTGATCCTCGCGCCACCAATCATGCATCTCGATGTGTGATGGCCGAGGAGTCGAATTGCACGACTCGATGTGAAATAAATGCACATATGAACACAATAAGGCCTAAACTCCATCATGGGTTGTCAAGAGTGTCAGCGACTGAGAATTGAAGAACGTTTCATTGCTTTGAGTATAAAACGTCCCTCATTTCGCGCCACCAATCATGCATCTCGATGCATGATGGCCGAGGAGTCGAATTGCACGACTCGATATGATGAATGCACATATGAACACAATAAGGCCTAAACTCTATCATGGGTAGTCAAAAGTGTCGGTGACTGGGAATCGAGACACGTTTGATCACTTGGAGTATGAAACATTCCTCGTTTTTCATGTTTGGACTAAACCCTACTCCAAACACAATGCAACAAATAGAATGGCATGTCATGTACAAAATGCAACTCTAGTGTGCAATCCTAAATGTAATGCGACTAAGTGATGTAAACATGCAAAGGATGACATGCAAGCATGCAAATGGCATACACAATGCTATGAACTAATCAATGGCATACTCAATGCACATGGATTATATGGCATGCATACACAATGCACTAACATACGCGATGTTATAAACGAGGCATACTCAATGCAATGATCGAACATGGAACAACATGGATTATATGGCATACACAATGTAAGATGGACTTAAACCAAAATGGATGGGTCTCGGCCACACCCAAATTAGTGGCCAAACATGATGAAAACGAAGCAACAACACACATGCAAACATGCACAAATGTAAGGGACCAAACCTAAGACACAAAGTGCAACTCCACCAAAGCATGGTAAGCATGAAATATGGCAAACAATCACATATTTTCCAGCTCTGAAATGACATGCAAAATGGTCCCGAATCATGCAAACACCTCACACAATGCATGCTAGATGGCCCAAATACCGAAACTAGTGAAGTGGATTACACTATAGGCATGCAAAGCAATACTCAAATGGCCAAACCAGCCCCAAAGCATGCAAGAATGAGATGCTCCTTTGATATGCTATGAAGAGGGTTATTCTACACATGCAAGATGGACATCCAATATGGAAAAACAAGCTCTAGACAGAGCCTATGCAGGTCCTAAAATTTATCAAAAATAGCCTGAAACATGGCTTGGAAGCATGCAAATAAGGGCTCCTTTGTAAGGCCAAAAATGCTAAAAAACAAAACAAGGAGAGAGATGGTCACCCTTCTCTGATTTTGGCTCTCAAAATAGCATGCTATTTCAGTGGCTAAAAGGCTAAACAAAGGTCAACACAAATGCTCTAAGGCATGGCTCAAAACAAGATAAAATGAAGCATGCAAGGGGGTAGATGACCCCCAATAGAAAAATGACCTTAAACAAACATCAAAAGGACCTCAAAACAAGACTTTTTTCAGTTTACACCAAAGCTCAAATATGCTTGCAAGTGTGGCTAAAAGATGGAGCAAAATAAAGCTTAAAAGATGGAATAGTGTGTTACCCTTGTAGCTTCAGCAAAACCAGCAGCTTCTTGGACCAAAAACCAGCTCTTTGAGACCTCTCAAGACCCTCCAAGAATCTTAGATCAATGGTGGGGGTGTGTGGCTATGAGGTGTGGTGTTAAAGGCCAAGAACAAACACCATTTCCAAGCCTAGAATGTAGAGATATAGAGAGATATATGTGCTTTTCGTTAGACAAATTTTTTTTTCAACATCTTTAAAGGAGAGGAAGGCCCTCTCTTATAGAAAAACAAGAGGGTCCAAGCTTCTTAGAGAAGCTAGAGCAAAAGGTTCAAGCTTCTTGGAGAAATTAGAGCAAAGGTTTAAGCTTCTTCAAGAAGCTAAAACAAAGGTTCAAAAGGTTCAAGCTTCCTCAAAAAGCTAAAACAAGGGTTCAAAAGGCTCAAGCTTCCTCAAGAAGCTAAAACGAAGGTTCAAAAGGTTCAAGCTTCCTCAAGAAGCTAAAATAAGGGTTCAAAAGGTTCAAGCTTCGTCAAGAAGCTAAAACGAAGGTTCAAAATGTTCAAGCTCTCCAAAAACCGTGCCAAATAGAGAAAGTTAAGCGGTCCCGAACCGAGGCGCACGGCCGACGGCTCCGAAAATCGGAAATTGGTCTCCAAACGGGAACAGTGGTCTACGACCACAAAAAGTAGCCTACGGCCACTGAGAGATGGTCTGCAATACCTCTCCCTCCCTCCGGGAAGAGAAAGCAAGACCTGGTCCGCAAACCAAGGCAAAACACAAAAGAGTCCCGAAGTCCGGAGACAAGGCTCTTAGCCGAGACTCCGTAACCTCAGAACGAGCACAACATGCACCATCACCGAGTGCTCAATCGATGACGTCTGAGTCTTAAGGTCGGTCAAAAATGGGGTGTCTACACTTGTTTAACCAAACAAGAAAATAGAACTTAAACTTTAAATCACATAGCGATAATCACTTGACATATCCGAAACCTCCACGGGAGGCACATAGGTTGGCTGACAAAAACAGATTCTAGGCAGATGCCTCTAAGACTGGTCACGTGCCTGATCGCCTACATACATAAATAATACAGTGAGCTAGAGCCCAGTGAATAATAACAGAATAAAGGGTTTTAATGAATGAGTCCGTACAGATTCAGAATTCATAATTCAGTTTCGTATCAAATTCATAATTTGCCCAGGTCATATACAGAAATCATAAGTCATACGTAAGTATACGTGATACATCCATAAGCGCTAACAGAGCAGATACAGAACAGATGCAGACAAGTGAGGATTACGAATAACCAGTTCCATAAAGGAACCTCCAGATCTGGGTAATAGAGAATAAACACGCTGAGCCCTGTAACGCCCTCAAAATAATACATAAAACCCAACAATCTTGACATGCATAGACATAAGAGAAATAAACATCTTTCCATTTATTAGAGTATTCATTTCAAAAGTATTACATGTTGACATCAAAAGTAAATGCCCTACGAGCTTACAACTTTCCAAGCCAACACTTGGTTACAAAAAAAGAGTACTAACTCTTAATACAAAATAAGCCATTGGCTTGATTTATATGTAATACACAATTAATCACAAAAAGGAAGCCTTCAGCTCCCACAACCTCCCAGGCTACATCCTTGGAGGCAGCATGTCGCCTGTACCTGAAAATAATGTCCCACATAGGGTGAGCCAACGCCCAGTAGAGATATGCTAAACATAATATGGGCAATAACTAAAACATTAGCATTTGATAAATGTCTAACTAATAAAAACCAACATACATACAATCCAGTTCCATAATCCTTTACTTATCCAATTCTCAACTTATAAACACGGCTCAAAACCTGACCAAACAACTTAAATGAGACTACATCTCATACTATCAATACTTCAAACTGCCATTTTACGGAGATTGCGTCCGCGAGATTCGTGATAAATGTTTAACTGATAAAAACCAACATACATACAATCCAGTTCCATAATCTTTTACTTATCCAATTCTCAACTTATAAACACGGCTCAAAACCTGACCAAACAACTTAAATGAGACTACATCTCATACTATCAATACTTCAAACTGCCATTTTACGGAGATTGCGTCCGCGAGATTCGGCACCCATGTATAATTATTTTCTAGTTACCATTTTACGGAAATTTCGTCCGCAGGACTCAGCACCCATATATGAATATTTTCAAATTTGCCATTTTACGGAAATTTCATCCGCGGGACTCGGCACCCATGTCTAATATTTTCAAATTTGCCATTTTACGAAAATTTCATCCGCGGGACTCGGCACCCATGTATTTGAATACATATCATATACAATGACCAATCAATACACATATTCGCTGTATTATTCCAACCGTCATACTCAATGACATACTCAAATTGATTAGTTTTAATTCACCTAATCATCATGCAGTGTCTACAACAATCAAGACTATCCTCCACCGATAGCCCAAAACAGTTATTTCTAAACAGATAATAAATGCATCAACAGATAAATTATCAACAATTCTCAAAGGTGAGTGATTATTAAATCCAACTCCACCATTCTACTACATAATGAGCCAATTTCATTATTCCCAACTCAATTCATATTTCCATAACATTTCCAAATTAATTATATAAATTAATTCATGCAACAATTTAGGGCTTTCTCATCCTTTTTCTCTACAATGACCCAAAGGTCCCATATATCATCAACAACATCAATACCATCATTTTAAGACCCAAGATACACATTTATGAGTCAAAATAGCCAAACCCCTCTTTATTCATTTTGAAACCCTAACACCCAAAATTACCCAACTTCAACATTACATCAAAATGACCAATAGTTTATGTCAAAGACCATAAAAATGAGTAGTTATCCTTACCTCAAATTCGGAGCTCAAAGAAGAAGATGAAGAAGTTTGAAAGTGCTCCGAACCCCAATATTTTTGGATCAAAACGTAGCCCTCAACAAGCTCCACACTTTTTACAAAGGCCCAAGGATAGAAGATCACTCCTACTAGATCAAATCCTAGAGAGAAGTTGGAGTTTTAGAGTGAGGTGCTCTCCAATGGAGGTTTTGAAAAAGTAGGAGAGAGAAAGAAAATCAAAAAGTGATCCAAAATGTCACTTTTCGGACTGATATAAAAGTCGCCCTGTTCGAGCGTCAGACACAGACTCACGCTCAAGTGTTAAAAGCGTCGCTTGAGCGCCGGTTGTACACTTCCAGAAGTTTTGCAGACCATGGTCCCCACTTGAGCGTCAGACTTCCTGCTCGAGCGGAGGAACAAAATCGAAAGGGCTCGTTCGAGCGTCAAAACTCCCGCTCAAGCGCACGACGACCTGCAGAGAAAAATACTGAGAGATGACAAATCACGCTCGAGCGTCAAAACTCCCGCTCTAGCGGAGAAGTAAAAACAAAGGGCCCGCTCGAGCGTCAAAAGCCCCGCTCAAGCGTGAAGGCCAAAATCTGGGCATCAACTTTTGGTTTCTAAACATAACCAACATGTTCCAAACTTGCCTAACACAACCCAAGACTCAAATACAAAGAGTAAAGGATGAAAATGAGAATAAGACAACAACATAACCACGGAACCAAGTTCGGAATACAATAAACAAAGGAAGGGAAAACCGGGATCGCTATAAGCCCCATGATGGAACCTCCAGTACGGGTAACAGAGTGCAGACAAATTAAGTTCCATGATGGAACCTCCGATACCGAGTAACAGCCAACACATAGCGCATGATACTAAGGATGTCACGAATACATATCAGAAATTGGACAATCATTTATTGTACAGAACATAACATTTTAGAAAACAATTCTTATTTCATCATACAGAAAATAAATAAGGTTGAACATAGCTTTACTATGTTATTACTCACAGGTAGCCACAGAAGCAAATAAGACGGACTGGACATATCAGATAAATCAGGCAGACAATGGCGCGTGACCTACACAAGCACATAATATATACACATTGAAATATAATATTACTCCCTTGATCAAACTTGACTTTTTTAGTCTTTTTTCGTCTAAATAGTCCGAAGTTTTACTAGCTTATTCTTTCTCATTTAAATAAACCGGGCTCTTATTTCACATAATCTTTCATTACTAAGCCATTCTTTTCCAAATAGATTGATCTTTTACTTAGCTTTTTAAACAATTGTCACTAGATCAATGATTCATTCCTTAACTAACTAATCTATATTGATTGGTAGCTTATTAATCTTTATTGAGTCATAAATCATGTCTAAAATGCTTTGGAAAGAGATGGAATAAAAATGTGAGCTAAATGCAATTTTTCAAAATATGCTGAAAATGGGGTCTTCGCTCGAGCGCCACTTTGATCGCTCAAGCAGACTGTAAAATTTGAAAAACTTCTAGAAGTTTGATTTTCACGCTCAAGCGAGACTTTCCTCGCTCGAGCGGACAGTGTGAATTCTGGAATTTCCAGAATTGTAATTGAAGTTCAGATTTGATATTCAAAACCTCAAAACATGTATTTTTGGTACACAAATATGGAGAACCACCATATAATTTAGTAAACACTCTCAATTAAAAGTCATTTATTCAAAATCATGCTCCAATTGTCCAATTTTAGATTTAACTCATTTTCTTTATATCAAACCCACAAATTTTAAAACATGATTTAAACTTTCAAAACTCTTGAAAAATTCATTATGCATGTACAATTGAAACTCAATGTGATTAATTTCTAAATTAATTTCCATAAATTTGAACATAGCTCTAATTCCTCATTTTCTTGTCAATTTTTCATAGCTGACATTGCATATATATAATTCAAATAAAACTAACTAATTTAATATATTCAATAACATGTTTAAATTAAATAAAACTCTTAAATTACATTACATGCATAGATTAGAGATTAAAATCAAACCAATATTTAAGTTTCAACACAAAATCAAAACCTCAATTAACTCCAATTCAATTTCTTCATCATTTTACTAATTCCCTTAAATCATGAAATTGAAAATATAAACTCTTTTAAAGGAATATTTGCATGTATGAAATTAGGATCAAAACTACTGATTTTACATCTTTCCCAAGCAAATCATAATTTAATTCTTGAACTACTCTAATTTAGATTTCTATTAATTTTCTTCATATCTAACCCAAATTTAAACTTATAAGTTTTTTACATATGAATTAAATCTAAAACCTTGAAATTCCAACATGCATGCAAGGATTAGTTTCAATTTATGAAGAATAACAAAGATCAAACTCTAACTAATTAATTTCCAAATTTATTTCCATAATCTTTAAATAGAATTCCAATTTTCTTCATCTTCTTGCTAATTCCTATTAATTACATGATCTTGAGTCCAATTTCATCTTTAATTTCAAGTATAATATAAAGATTCTATAAAAATTAAGCATGAATCCATACCTTCTACTTTAATTTCAGCATTTTAATTGATTCTCCTCTATTTCCCCTTTTCTTTTCTTCATTTCTTTCTCTAATCCATAGCTTTTCCTTTAGCCCTCTTCCATTTCCAGCAACTCTTCTCTTCTTCAATAATCAAGTAAATTGAGTTCTCTCTCTCTCTCTCTCACGGTTTCTCTCCCTCTGTGGAACTTCTTCAACAATAGCAGAATATGAATTCATTTCCCTTGCTTGAAATTAACACAATATACTCATATGCCCACTTTATGGCTCCACACGTCCACACGTGCACATACTTTAGGCCTTTCTAGAATTAAGTTACTAATACTATTAACAAATTATAATTAACACATCTTAATAAATCTCAATTAGCACATAATTTAATTAATCAAATTAATTACAAATCCCACATAATTTAATCAGTCTAATTTGACTTCCATTAGAGCCTAATTAATTATAATTAAATTTATCAATCTGAATCAGATTTTTAATCGAACTCCTAAAAGGTTCCAAATATTAAATTAAATTTATTTTCATCCTCAATTTTGATTTTCCAAATCATTTAGGCCTTCAATTTTTGATCAGACATCAAATCTTCGTCAATAAATTACATATTCAAATTGGACCTCCCATAAATGAATTTAATTCATAATAATCACAATTCTCAATCCTCATAATTTAATTAACTTAATTGACTCTAATTCGGACTTAATTAATCAGATCTCCATTTTACTAAACTGAATCGATTATTTAATTAAACTCCCAAATGGGTCTATAATTAAGATTAAATTGATTCAACTTCTTAAGTTCACTTCCTTAAGCCATTTGGACCCTTAATTTCTAATTCCAAAATAGATCTTTAATAGAATCATATACGAGTCAGATCCCACAATTGTCATAAATCCTAAATTAAATTATAATACTCGGCAATTAAATTTCAAATCCTTTTAATTAATCAAGTACTAATCATTATACGTGATGGAGTCGTTACACTTTAGTTGACTTTTAGCTACTAGATTTTAGTTGGCAATTGTAATTAAAATTTTAGAGGGAGGATTTCAAAATTTTAGAGGGATTCCTAAATTAATTGGCAATGAAACTACATTTTAGTTGGCAAAAATTTACAGCTCTTTGTTTTTCAGTTAGTTAGGGAAAAAAAAGAAGAAGCTAGGTTTGCAAAACGTCACCGTTTTATGCTAAATTACCTTGGAAAGCTGGTGTCTCTCTCGTGATCCATGTGATTCTCTCTCTCTCTCTCTCTTTCTCTCTCTCTCTCTCTCTCTCACGCCTCTCCTCTTTCCATGGTCTCTCTCGCACAGTCATCACAGCGTCACACCACCATTGGAGCATTATCCCAAGAATGTCTTTCGCTCTCTCTCTATCGATGTTTCTGTCTCTATCCCCCCCTCTCTCTCTCTATGCCTCTATCTCTGTCTCTTTGTCTCTCTCTACCTTCTTCCATTCGCATACCTGTAAATCGACCCAGCCCCAAATTGACCCAGCCCCAAATCGTGATTATATATAGAAGGGAAAATCCAAAGTATATTTGAACATCAATACAAAACAAGAGCACATGTATGATCAACACAGGTCAAGGAAATTTTACTTGCTTATTACAATACATGTACTGTCTTTACAAAAATTACATAGATTATTTTCTTTTCGTGTTGATAATTAAAACATTATCTATCTATAAAACTAAGAATGGAATATGAAATAAAAAAAAAAATTAGTACACGGAGGAACAGAGACATTATCTATCTAAACGTTTAGTAGGCAAAAACAAATTAGACTTTTAGTAGTGAAAAAAAAAAAATCAAACTTTAAGCGTCTAAAATATTTTAGTAGCTAAAAAACAATAAGATGAAATAAAAAAATTATTTGGCTACTAAAATTTTAGTCATTAAAAATAATTGAAAGTTTTGGCAAAAACAAGTTTTAGTCGTTGAAAATGTTATATTTAATTTTACTTTAATGCTTTTGACGACTATAGTCAGCAATTGAATACTTTTGGCGACTAAACCTTTTTGAGTCACCAATAACCTTTCCCGACAATTGCCCACCGACTAACCTGGCAACCAAAACTTTAGTCTCTAAAAACCTTCACTGACTAAACCATCACTTTTGGCGACTACAAATTTAGTCGCCACAAGTGCTTATTTGTTGTAGTGAAACTCATTCAAAAGAAAACTTCTTGGCAAAGAAAAGCTCATTAATTAAGATACAAACTTGAAAACAATACTCAACAACAGCCCGTGCTAGATTGGTTATTGAACAAGCTTGTCTATTAATTAACTTCACTTGAATTCAAAGCAACAGTATAAAAGAATATAGAAGGAATACACACGCTGAAATTGAAGTTGAATGTATATTTATTTCAGGCAGATTTGCATCTGAAAGTATTACAACAGCTTGTATGGGCATATAGAGGTGTAAACAATGGTAACGTCGCACATAGCTTCAAAGTTTATCCCAATTCATAGGTCTCCTTTTTTTTTTAAATTTATATATATATATATATAGAAATAATTTAATCCCAGCTTCCAGATCAATACTTCCGCCCCGTTTCCAAATTGTCAACCAGCGGCTAGCTCAAGGCGGAGTTAGGTTGGCAGCAACTCTTAATTGTATATTGAAATGAGAGCGGATGATCCGATTCTCCAGTGAGGCAATGGGTATAAAAAGGAAAGAATAGAATTTTGTGTTCTAGTTTTAAAAACGTTACATTGATTGTCTCACCTAAAAGCTCTTTATTAAATATATCAACTCTTTTTATTTTTATTTTTTATTTTTAAAAAATGTGCCTAGAATGTAATGTTATCAACACTGCATTCATTTTGTGTGGACTCCACAATCTATCAAAACAAATATACTGATGTTGCCATATTGTATTCTAGATATTTTTTAATTTCTTCTTAAATTTCTCAAACCAAAGTCAATCACTACCCATTGTCGTATTTGGTTATATCCAAAATAATGTTAGTTATGTATAATAAATTTGGTTATGTTTCAAAGTTGTATTAAAAACAATGCAATACAGTGATTACAAATTCAATGTGATTATATTCCACACACAAAATTTAAAAATAAAAAAAAATAATAATAAAAAATCAACTATTAAAAAGTCTTCTTGTATGGATAATTTAGAATTGGAACCATGTCATTGTCAGAGAACATTCAAATAATATACAAACATAAACACCACAGATATTTTAATATTAGTAAATTAAACAAACTGAAACTATTTAATTTGTGGTTTCTTGACAACAAGAACAGGGCACTTGGCATTCTGAACACAGTAGCTGCTCATACTTCCAACAAGAGCCCTGCTTCATCATGAACAACAGATTTGATTTCGTACCTAACTAACTAACTTCTTGGAGTGAAAATTCATTATCTTTGACTATAAGAGATCTAACAACACATCATCAAGATATTGATTCATTGTGGAAAAAAATATTTTTAATTGTTAATACATCTGAGAGCCCTAAAAGTCATCAATTAAATAGTAAATGCAGAAGCAGGTGGAATAAGCTTTACATATTTTTCAACTTCTTGAAGAAAAATTACAACAAATCAACATTTGAGAAACAGGGAAGCCATCTGTTGGCTACATATTTTATATAAGCCAATTACAGTTCGACACATGGCTGGATAAGGGCAATACGAGAAGACAATTCAAATCTTCAATCATAATCACACACGTGGCAGTTAGTATTTTTTTTGTAGATCTGCATAGCACTGGATCAGCAAAGAGATGCAAGATGATGTGGCTTCAACGGTTACTTATATTTAAATTCAAAATCAGGAGGGAAACTTAACTGCAGATATGGCATAGTGGAGCTAATTATAAGGCAACATGATCAGCGACCATGGAAGGATGGTTCGACGGTTAGAAATGCAGTTCGACGGTTGTCATTGAGAAGTATAAATAGCAGAGAAGGCCCCAGAAAGTGCCCCCAGACTCAGATCCAAAAAACCAGTTTTATCTACTTTATTTCCTTTTCAGTTTTTACATTTCTGTACTTCAAATTTCTGCACTGTACTTCGTTCATAGGAGTAGTTTCAAGTAGTTTGTTGCTGTAAGCCTCTACGAGGCTGATTTGGATCTTTGTAAGTCTTTCATTTTACTTAATGAAATGCTATAATTGTTCTTCATTTAATCATTGTTTACTTAATTTTCCTAAACAAAGCCACCAGTAAAAGTCCTCTTCATTGAGACTAAAAGAACTAAAACACGATCATCTGATAATTGGTTGGCAATTAATATTCTGTAAGGACTGATTGATCCTTACTGGCACACTCACAATTACAAAAATAACTTTTGAAAGCCAAAAAACCAACACCATCTTATCAACTGGGTTGGTTGTGTTTTCATTTTCTAGAAAACATACAAAAACTGTTTTTGTAAAAGTTTTTCAAAAACAATCCACTTTCTAGAAAAATCAAAATTTTATTTTTCAAAACCATTTCGCACTAAAATGAACGTGATGGACGTTTTCGAACTTTTATTATTGCTATTTTTAATTTCTAAAACCCGAAAAACAAAAATGAAAACACAACTCATAATAGCATATGTTATTCTTCCAAACTTTTCATACACAATTTCAACCCCCCCCTCTCTTTCTTGGAAGCTATGAAGCATGGACACTCCAAAATTGATGCCGTAGCAGTGTCCGACACGCGGACACGCCGGGGACGCGGGGACACGTACGGGACACGCCAGATGGCGTGTCCCCTTAATTTAATGATTTTTTTGGAAGGGGACACGGCAGGGACACGGAGGGGACACGCGTGTCCATTTCTGGACACGCCATGGGACACGGCAGGGCTCGTTTTTGAATTTTTTATATTTATTTGGGGTCAAAGTATAATATTTATAAAGTAAAAAAAAAAAAAAAAAAAACAGGAACCCTAATCAAACAAGTGAGAGTAAAGGAGTGAAATCAAACCTGAAAAAGACTCTCTCATGAAGCATGGACACTCCAAAATTGATGCCGTAGCAGTGTCCGACACGCGGACACGCTGGGGACGCGGGGACACGCCGTGGACACGTACGGGACACGCCAGATGGCGTGTCCCTTTAATTTAATGATTTTTTTGGAAGGGGACACGGCAGGGACACGGAGGGGACACGCGTGTCCATTTCTGGACACGCCATGGGACACGGCGGGGCTCGTTTTTGAATTTTTTATATTTATTTGGGGTCAAAGTATAATATTTATAAAGTAAAAAAAAAAAAAAAAAAAAAAAAGGCCCTAATCGAAACTGAGTAAAGGAGAAAAATTAACCTTCTCTCTCAGTCGAAGCCCGATCGAAGCTCTGTCTCTCAGTCGCAGTCCTCCGACGTCGATCGCAGCCCTCCGACGTCGATCGAAGCCCTCTGACGTCGATCGCAACCCTCTGACGTCGATCGATCGCAGCCCTCAGTCCCTGCTTCAGTCGATCCAGTCGTCTTCGAAGGTAAGCCCGTCTCTCGCTCTCTCTCTCTCTCTCTCTCAGCTTTCGACAGATGAGATTGAGTTTTATTTTTTTTTAATTTTTTTTTTACGTTTATATATGTTATTATATGTAACATACTCTTTTTTTTATTTATTTTTTATTTTGATATATATTAATAAGCCTCTTTTTTTTATTATATTTTTTTATTTTGATATATATTATATATAAGACTTTTTTATTTTTATTTTTATTTGTTTATATGTTTATATATATATATATATATGTAAGAACTTTTTTTTTTAATTATATGTTTATATATATGTATATATATAAAACTGTATTTAAATTCTGTTTTTTTATTTAAACTCTTTATTTAGATGAGACTGTTTTTTTTAATTATATGTTTATATGGATCAAAAAGGAAGAGGTCAACTGCTTTAGGGAGTGGAAGTAGTAGTAACCCTGTTATGAAGGCATTTAACATTGGGGCTCGAGAACGACTAAATAGTGAGATAGCTATAATGTTTTATTCAGCAGGCTTGCCATTTCATTTGGCAAGAAATCCTTACTATGTTAGTGCATTTACTTTTGCTGCAAATAACAACATACAAGGATATGTACCACCTGGGTATAATATGTTGAGAACTACATTGCTTCAAAAAGAAAGGATAAACATTGATAGGTTGTTAGATCCTATTCGAGGCTCATGGAGAGAGAAGGGGGTGAGTATAGTCAGTGATGGATGGAGTGATTCCCAACGAAGGCCATTAATAAATTTTATGGCCTCTACCAGAGGTGGGCCTATGTTTCTTAAAGCGGTTGATTGTTCAGGGGAAACAAAGGACAAATATTTTATTTCCAACTTGATGAAGGAAGTAATTATGGAGGTTGGGCCTAAAAATGTGGTTCAAGTCATTACAGATAATGCCGCAAATTGCAAGGCAGCCGGGCACCTAATTGAAGCACAATTTCCTCACATCTTTTGGACTCCTTGTGTTGTGCACACCCTCAATCTTGCCTTGAAGAATATTTGTGCTGCCAAGAATGTGGAAAATAATTCAGTTGCATTTGAAGAGTGTAATTGGATTAGTGAGGTTGTGGGTGATGTGATGATGATCAAGAATTTTATTTGTAATCATTCCATGAGGTTGGCAATGTACAATGAGTTTGTGAGTTTGAAACTTCTTTCAGTTGCCGAGACACGCTTTGCTTCTTCTATTGTCATGCTTAAGAGGGTCAAGTTGATAAAGCAAGGTCTCCAAACAATGGTAATCAGTGACAAATGGAGTTGTTATAGGGATGATGATATTGGTAAGGCCAAGTTTGTGAAGGATAAGTTATTGGATGACTTTTGGTGGGATCAAGTTGACTACATACTTTCCTTTACTGCTCCTATTTATGACATGATTAGAGTTTGTGACACCGATAGACCTTCTCTTCACTTAGTATATGACATGTGGGATACAATGATAGAAAAAGTGAAGATGGTGATATATAAGCATGAAGGAAAGCGACTAGAAGATGAGTCTACATTCTATAATGTAGTACATCAGATTCTTGTAGACCGGTGGAACAAGAACAACACACCACTTCATTGTTTGCCATACTCATTGAATCCAAGGTGATTACAACACAATTTACTATTTTTATTAATTTAAGTTTAATATTATTCTTTCACATTTATAATGAGTAGTACTTTTTTTTCATTTTAGGTATTATAGTGATGTGTGGCTTCATGAGGATCCAAGCCGAGTTCCCCCACATAGGGATGAGGAGGTTTGTCTTGAGAGAAAAAAGTGCTTGAAAAGGTTCTTTGATGATCCAATGGAGCGCACTAAAGCAAATTTGGAGTATGCTAAGTTCTCAACAAAAGAGGGGCCATTTGCTGACATTGATTCCATTGGAGATAGATGTGATATGGATCCTCATAGTTGGTGGGTTGTTCATGGTGCATCTGCACCCACTCTTCAATGTTTGGCTTTAAGGCTACTTGTGCAACCTTCTTCTTCATCATGTGCTGAGAGGAATTGGAGTATATACTCTTTTATCCATTCAATGAGAAGAAACAAGATGACACCCCAACGTGCAGAGGACTTGGTTTTTGTTCATAGCAACCTCCGTCTTTTATCAAGGAGAACCCCACAATACCATGAAGGAGAGACCAAGTTATGGGATATTGCGGGCGACACATTTGATTCATTTGATGATGTTGGAATGCTTGAGGTTGCAAATCTGTCACTTGATGAACCTGAGATGGAGGTTGTGTTGTTTACAGATGATGGAGGTGCAAACGAAGAAAAAGGTGGTGATGCTAATGATGATGAAGACGTGCAAGAAATTGGATCTACTTGAAGTTTTGAAAGGCCTACTTCTTTTTTTCTTTTTCTTTTTTTTCTTCTTCTTTGTCTCTTATTTAGTGTTTTTGTGAAGAATATTGTTGGATGTTTTCCCCTTATATTTATTGTTGGATGTTGGATGTTGAATCTTTTGCCTCTCTTATATTTATTGAATTAATGGTACTATATTAGTGTTTGTTAATTTTGATTTAGAATGAATGTAATACGAATCTACATAACACATAAATATATATATATATATATATAAATCGCCGTGTCCCCTGCCGTGTCCGTGTCCCCATTTTTTGAAAATTGCCGTGTCCCGTGTCTGTATCCGTGTCCGTGTCCGTGTCCGTGTCAGTGTCCGTGCTTCATAGCTTGGAAGTACTAATTTGAAGTAAATTGATCGTACAAAAAAAATAGAAGAAAGGAAACAAACCTCTGGATTAATCCAAGCTCATGATCACCTAAAATAAGTAGATTGATGTTGTATTTTCAACTGCATTACAAATTGCCTCTTTAGGATCCCCAACCTCTGCTATTAATATTGTTTCTGCTTTTACCTGTTGTAAATTAGAACAATATAATCAAATATTTGTGGTAGGTGTGCTACACATGTCCATCTTCATATGTAGCATGTCCTGAAGCATGAAGAAAACAATAGCAGCCAAGGTTTTGTGAGATCTTAGATTAAACATCAAAATGAGATATTATTTTATTGGGGTTTTGAAAATTTGTGACTTTAACGATATTATTATTATTGTTATTATTATTATTATTATTAAATTTAGAGACTTAGGCAATAAGCTAAGTGGCCTTATAGTTGAACCTGTTCTGGCAGAAAACATTGATGAAAACTTAAAAGAAGAAACAAATGTGTATAGAAAGAAGAATGATAAGATAAGGACTTTATAGAAATTGGCCAAAGTGAATTTCGAAACAACAAAGTTATATATTCACATAAAAACAAAACACTTGGATAATAAAAGCATATAAAATTAAAAACGTGTCTATTCATTTTGGATGTGATCTATGCTATATAAAATTTAAATCTAAACTTTTAATATAAAGAAAAATCTCGTATTAATAGAAAATCGGTAAAAAATTACAAATGGGTGGAAATCTTTGTACATGCAAATTTTTAGCGTCATTGCCCTACCCCCACAAAGCAAACAGAATTTTAGGTGAGACCAACTAGGATTTTGCTCAATTAAATTTTTAGTAATTTATGTTCAAAAATCTAATCCAACTATTCCAACAAATAAAAAATGTTAGGTTTTTGTTATTGGCAATCTCGTTTGACAAAACTCCTTTCAGTTGTAATTTTATTCGATATTTTATTTCAGTAAGGCTATGAGTTTTAGATGCGAATCCAACCCGAATTGTACCCTGGCAGAGAAGTTTGTGATATTAATTCTTTCATGTTTGCCACTTCGCTGACTATGTTCGAGTTCAAGCTGCCCAGTTAGCTCGCGGGGGGTCCAGGGGACAACACCCCTTGGTGGGTCCGGGGCAATGCCCAGGCGGGGTCGAGAGGCAGCGCCCCAAAGCAAAAGGTAAAATTGCAGTCGAAGTTGTTTTTCTACTCGAGCAGTCATTCTTGCGCTCAAGCGGAGATCGTGACCTTTCAGAAGTTTCACTCGCCTGCAAAAGTATTGGGAGTTGTTTATTTCAGCTCGAGCGGCCTTTTCTGCGCTCGAGCGTAGATCCGCTCTAGCGACCATCGTTTTCTATAAATATCTGTTTCAGTTTGATTCTAGGGTACGGCTTCCAGATCTTCTTTTTGGATATTAGGGTTTTCTTCTGGAGCTTCTTTGCTTGTTTCCTTTGATATTTGTGAGAGTTTCAATCATGAATTGAGTGGAGTATATCAAAGGATTTGTTTGTTTTATTTATTCAATACAAAAGAGAGAGTTGTTCTTCAGTGGATTTCGGAGAATTTGGGCCAGAAGCTTTGGTGGATTCTGGAATGGTTCATCGTCGTGGATTTGACATCGGTGTTGTGGATTCAACGTTGTACAAGATAGTTCTGAGGTGAAGACGGGGCTAGAAGAGACACGTAAGGGTCGGTTCGATTCGAGCGTAGATTTGCTAGGTAATTGAGAGTACACTTGTGTAATTCCTTTATATCTTCTTAGTGGATTATTTTATGGTTTTTGCCCGTGTTTTTTTCATCACAATTGGAGGCATTCCAATTATGATTTTTTCACGTAAAATCGTTCTGTCGATTTGTCTTTATTGTTTGATTGGGATCGTTATTTACTGCTTAAAATTGATACATAATCACAAATCAATATCTAGGGAATTTTTAGATTTTTTCAAAAAATATAAATGCTTAAAATATGCAGATGAAAATCACCTGTGCATCGGATAATTTAGTCAACTAAACAAATATCTCAATTAAATGAAACTTGTAAAAACAAAAAAAAACAAAAGGCCATACCCCATGACTGGTACTGATACCCTTAGCTTTCTCTAAAATCCCCATTGAAACCACCCTGTTCTGTTCTTGGACAGACTTCACATACTCAGCTGCCATCAAAACAATAAAAATAAAAAATCAGAAACTTGTGAATGGAGAGTGGAAACTCCAATTTACTCATGGATTCATACAAATCACTTCATTTACATACATCGGTTCTTATAATTATGTATACAAGAACTCATACAAATCATTTCAACAGAGAGAGAGAGAGAGAGAGTAGACATAACTAGATGAGAAAGGGAAGTAGATGCGAGCATTGCCAAGAGGAGCAGCGAAGACATTGGGATTAGTGCCTGGAGATGGCTGAACCATGAAAATAAGCAGAGGATTGCCAGAGCTGTTGATGGTTTCCCTGAGATTTTGGAGCAACCACATGAGGGCATGGTACCTGGACTTGCTCTCATCAATTGCCACCATCACTTTCTTCCCAGCTTTCTCCACCACGGTCATTATTCTCTCTCTTCTCTTCGTTACTCTTCTAAGAGTTTTTGTTTTTTCAAGTTTCAACCTCAAAACACACACAAACACAGAAAAAACTAGTTACAGAAGTTTCTCTGTTTTATAATTGGTAGTTATGAATAAAACGAAGGTGGTTAAAAATTATATCTTGTTCAGTAGGTGACATGTGCTTTTGAAATAGAGTATGAGAATGGCAATGCTAAAATGATGTGTCATGCTACAATTTTATTAGGGAAATTTTTTTTTTTTTAAAAAAAAAAATCCAGAATTTCATAAAATCTGATGAAAAATTATTATGTATAATATTTTCTTAGTATTACAACAAAGAAGTTGAGGGTATGAACTTTTCCATTAAAGTCAATCAAAATGAACCATTTAATCTTAGAAAAACTTCACAAAACTTTGGAAAATGATATCTGAGAAAAAGAATGCCACCATATCTAAAAACTAGATTCTTATAATTACACACAAGATTTGTTGGGTAAAAATTAATGATTTTAATTATTAATATTTATAATTTTTATTATTTTTGTAATTATTTTTTCTAGCTATCACTGTTATGTTATTTCCTCTAAAATTTACAGGGGATACATTAATTGGCCAAAAATCCTTATTACTCACTAGAATATCAATGATTCAAATATTATAGTATCTGCATCCAAATTATTTATCCGGCATAAAAAATAATATATTTTAATGTATAATTTTTTTATTACAAAGTAAAATTATTTAATGAGATATTTTAATTGGTAAAAAAATAAGAAATTTAGTACGAAAATATATTATTTTTAAGTTCTTGATTTTTTTTCCGTACAACAATTTGAAACTATAGTAACAAGTAAATCTCTACTTTTCATAATAGGGACTTCAATAAATTGAGAAAGCAGTAGTGCTACATCTATCGAATTTAGGTTCGCTTAAATTGTCCAAATCTATGCAAGCCGGTCGTCCAATCGGTCATCTGAAAAGTTGTTTGGCTAGTCATCTAGGAGGATGCCGGTCATCTAGATGGATGCTGGTTGACACATCGGTTGATAAGGGCGACAATCGCGATTGACAAGGATAGCACCAATTATCCGGCCAGTCATTTGGGTTACATAATTCAGACAATTCAAACTAGTCCAAATTCAATTAAGAAAGATAGTGTGATTCATATTCAACTCTATATGATAAAACTCAAATCTTAAATAAATTTTATATGGTACATTAAATCTTTTGATTATTGTTTGTCTTATCAATAAAATGCTGCTCTGGGTGCTGCTTTTTCTTTAACAAGTTTGTTTGCCAAAGTGGTTTTGGACTTTTGTTTGCCAAAGTTGTTGAAAGAAAAACCAGCCAGTCAACAAGTGCTCTTTTGGAAAGTTAGCTTTTAGCTTTTAATTCATTTTGGGTCACATTACTTCTCATATTTTATATATAAACAGACAAAAAAATCAACCAACTTTCCAAATCACTCCTAACCTGTAGTCCCACATGCATACAGATCCAATCAAATCCTACTGTTTTGGGATATAATTTTGTAACAATAATTTATTTTTAGGTAAATTAAATTCACCTCTTGAAATTTAAAAATATATATATAATTAATTTTATATTTTGACATAATTATACTAATTTTTCTTGAAGTTTTAATTTACCCTAGTGGTTGGCATACGCAATACACATGTAATTTAAATAAATAAAAATAAAATAAAATATTATATATTGTATGTCAATCAAGTGGTGAGTCTTCTTCTTTAGACCTTAGGTCCAAAGTTCAAGTTCCCCTCCTCTCATCTATTTAATTTTTTTTTATAAAAAAAAATAGAAAACTAAAGGACACATAACATAAGGAGAAGCAATTGACTTTCACTAAATATAATAGTATTAATAACAATTAGGTCATTTTTCATAAATAATTTGTTAGTCATATGAATAAAAAAAATATGTCGTCACACTACAACAATTTACACTTTTGGCGATCATAATTGGCGACTAAAAGGAATTTAGTCACCAAAAGTTGTACAATTGGCAATTAAAATTTAAATTAGTCGGCGTTGTCTCAAGTTTTAGCTACTAAATTTTTTTAGTCACTTTGTATTATTTATTGGCGACTATAAAGTAATTTAGTCGCTAAATATGGCACAATAGGCGACTAAAAGTTTTTTTGGTTGGCATTATTTCATGTTTAGGCTACTAAAGTTTGTTTTAGTTGTGGTATATCAGTTTTTGCCTACTAAAATAAATTTAGTCGCCAAATAGCTAGTATAATGTTTGCTATTAATCTTTGGCAACCAAAAATTTGGTCAGCAAATATTCTTTTTCGGTGACCAAAATGATTTTAGTTGTTGTATAGTATTTTTGCCTATTAAAATAATTTAATCGCTAAATAAAAAGCATAAATTTTATTTTTTTATCTTTGGTGACAAAATATTTGGTCGGTGAATATTTCTTTACGGTGACTAAAATACTTTTAGTTGCCAAAAGTACTACAACAGGTGGCTAAATTTACATTAGTCGGCCATGGTATGAAATTTTTTTGGAGGGAACGTTTTCAAATATGGGGGCAATTATATTTTATTAGTTTTTTTTTTTCATATTTGGTTTTATCAGTCCCCAACCCAGACAAAAACAAGACGACTCTTGTCCCTCTCTCTCTCTCTCTCTTTCTTTCTCACCATTGATCTTAGACCATCACTCACCGTCGATCTTCCACCGTCGCACATCACTATCGCCACTGTTAGTGTATTATAATGTTGGTGTCATATATAGTTGTCATACATTAGCATATATTATATACATGTAAAGTAAAATGTTTATTGTATTGTTTATTGTTTTTGCTTTCGGTGCATTTGGCATCCTATGTACAACACTCTCCTCTCTATAAAAGAGAGTGAGCTTCTCCTTATGTAATATAGATTTAACATCAATATATATATAATTTATTCTCTCCCTTTCTCTATACAGTTATTCTAACATGGTATCAGAGCTATAAGATTTAGGCTTGTAATTTTTTCTCACCGGCGGGCAGCTGGCCGGCAACCTTGCCTTCGCTGCCCGCTGGAATTTTTTTTTTTTTTTGAACACATACCTTCACTCCTCACGGATGGCATCCACTCTCTCCTCCGTTCGATTCACTACCACCATCTTGGTGCATTCTTTTGCTACCAAGTGCTTAATCACAAGCCTCCCTCACATTCACCATGCACCAATGACAAGTTTTCAGGCTCACGCTGGTCAACTTGGACAGCCGACAACTTTTCCAGCTCCAAGTTGTCAACCTGCACAGCCGACAACTTTTCCGGCTCCAAGTTCTCAACCTGCATAGCCACATGCTAATTTTTATGGGAACTTCAACCAGCAACCAAGATCTGCTACTCCGGCAGCTCCACACATGGCTTCTCAAGCCCCTGCTGGACAGACCACATAGTACAACACCGGACACTTCCCCCCCTCTATTTTTGATCTCACCAGCGCGGTGAAGTAGTCCGGGAACGTCATCCCTATCACTCCCTCTTTGCCTCGTCGGACGTATGAAGTGTGAAGTGGGATGGTGCACAGTGCGTTGCACACTGTGTCTGTTCCCCACTACTTCAATTTTTAACGCAGCCTCAAGAGCTGCCCATGTGTGTATCTCTTTGTCCAGATCAGTGCCTCATCATGCTCACTCTCTTTTTTTTTTTATTCTCTTTATTCCCACTTCCTTCCCCTCTCCAATAAAATAATTCTCCACTACCTCCATATATCAAAATCAGTTCCACCAGCACAAAACATGCTCGTCTGCATATGAATACCCAGCTCTCTCTCCACTTTATCACATGGGCTTGTCCCCTCTCTCTCCTCCTATACGTTTGATTTCAAAATCAATTATTTCTATTTATTTTCTCCAAACTACTTTTGCACTCTTTTAAATACCCACATTTATTTTTCTTTCCCATCATTTCTTTTAAACTTTTCTTTCCACAACTCCCCTTTCCTTTCTTTTCTTTTCTTTTCTTTTCTTTATTCTCTACCCACACCACACTCCACACACTCTCTCTCTCTCTCTCTCTTTTTTGATTTCCATTATGTTATTATTTATTTATTTATTTATTTTTCTCTCTCTCTCTCTCTATATATATATTTTTATTATCCTCTGTTCCCACTCACCCCCCTCAGTCAAGCACGCCCTCACCTTTCTTTTATTATTTATATATATATGTTTTACTATAATCTCTTACCCGAACACTAAACACCAAAAAAAAAAAAAAAAAAAAAAAAAAAAACAAACAAACAACAAAATCAGCCATTCACACAACTGCTTTCTGCTCAGTCTCGTGTCATACATGTCATCCAGATTGCACAACATCTCTCATTTTTATTCCTATCGGGGATCACCGCTCACCGCTTCTAACACCACAAAAAAAAAAAAAAATACAAACAAATACAAAGAAAATAAATAAAAAAAAACCCTTTCATCATTTTTTTAACACTTCACTCTGTGTTGAGCTGTTTTTACTCCACTTTATCAATCCCTTTGTTTCAACCTCAAATAGGTTTCTCTCTTCACACCTATTTGAGTTTGAGGGGGGGTTATACATATATTATGGTGAGCATGGTTCCATACTATGTGAACCACCCAAGCTGATGAGCATGGTTATATACCATGGGAACCACCCAAGCCACCCCATGGCGCACTCCCTAAGTCGCCCCCTTGGTGCACCACCACAATCTTTTACATCGGTCTGGCATGACCCCGTAAACTGTCCTGACAACGGTCCGGCATGACCTCGTAAACTGTCCCGACATTGATTCCAGTTAGCTTTTCCAACAGTCTGACACGACCACACAGTGTCTGCTACATCGGTCCGGCATGACCCCGTAAACTGTCCCGACATTGATTCCGGTTAGCTCCTACAACGGTCTGACACGACCAGACAGTGTCTCCTATCCTATTTTTATTTTATTTTCACGTTTTGTTACTCTCTCCAAACTCAAGTTGGTTTGTGTCTCTCCTCCTTGAGTTTGAGGGG